TTAAAATGTCCTTCCTCACTGTTCTCTCTCTGTCTTACTACTAACTTTGAAACTTAGCTTACTGTCTCAGAGTCCCTTCAACCTAACCTACCCCTAACTTATTTTAATCTAATCTTTTCTCTCATAACATTTAAAACCTTTTCCCCTGACTTATTGACAACATCTCTTACCACCAAATTTCAGAATATGTGATTGGGAAAGTTCCCCACCTGCTTCTGACTCATTACACACAGACTTGGCAAAACCGACTAAACACCTTTTAGCCTAACCTCAAATCTCTTAGTGTAGGAATGTAACCCAAAATAACAGTCACCCCTATTAAGTTTTTTCCCAGACAGATTGTCTAACAGGCAATCTAATACATTATCATCCTTCCTATGATATTATCTTTTAAGCAAATGATTCCCAAAAAACCCTACTTCTTAAAATATTCTACCAGACAGTCAGTATGCCTCTGATTGAACACTTAAATTTACACCATGCATCTCTTCCCAACACTGCCATAACAGCATCTTCTAATATTAGTATGTCTCTTTTACTTCCTCTTTGACTTTTATAGCAGAGCTCAATTGATTCCCTAAGAGTAATTAAACTATTTTACTACTTCCAATCCCTATCCTAACCTAATTAGTTTATTTTACAGAGTGATATGTTTAACCTCTTTAGACTGAACCCAGATAAGTTTTCCCCTATTCACTATCACTTCTAATGGTCAGTTGTTTCAACTGTTAGCTATTTCCTCTTCTTCTCTAATCGATGCTCTCAGCAATGCACCCCTTCCGGATATTCTCGGCACTCTAGAATATTTAGTGTTCACCTGAAGCACCGGTGATCTTCACTTGCTCGTTGATCTTCCTCTGTTTCTTCTTCTCCAATTCTGTGTCTGTCCAGAAACTGACAGTCGATATGGAACATCTGGTCCCCCCTTGGCGGGTACAATTGCCTTTGATATTGTTCAGTTAAAGCTGTAACAGTGATTGTTGATTTGATTCACTCTGATTCTTCATAACCAACACTTCTTTTCTTCTTCTCCACCACCAGTTATAAGTTGTATTTGATAGAGTTTTCTTCGTCCGGTTCTTCTCGTTGTGGACCTATCAGTATTCTTCAAAAGGTTATCTTCTAAGTTCTGTTCTTGAAATATCATCTTCCATCATCTTCTTACTTTTCTTCATCAGAACTCGAATATCTTGTCTTCTTCTTCGTTCAACTTTCATCCGAGATCAAGTCTCCAGTATCCTTCTTTCCTCTCTTGCCACTTCCTTCTGATCACAGAGTCACCTCCACCCATGGCCTCTCATCAATCACTCTCATCGTCATCATCGTCATCTCCTTAAGTTCCCAGACATCTCGGTTTTCTTCCGTCTTCTGGATTCATCTTCATCGTTGTTTCTGCTCGTATTCGTCTTCATCTCTGATGCCATAATCACCCTGCTGGATGATGTCTTTCTGCTGAATCCATGTGAGAAAGGTGTACTAACATCTGCCATTAGTCTCCCCTAACACTACTCTAACCCTACTTTGATTAAAAAATGACTATTTTAATCAATTTTCCCCTATATCAAGCCCTTTATATTCCTTTATTGTGAACTATCCTATTTTAGACTATTTAAGTTATATAGACTTCCCCCCTGTAATTATTAATATAACCCTAACAACTCCAAATAAATCCTGAATAATAAACCCAATTTTTATTCCTATATCCTATGTCACCAATATCAATTAGTGTTGAGTATATCTCACCACAACCCATCAACTGTCAGTAAATGCAAGTTAGTCATCTTCAGACTAAAATACCCCTAAACAAAGCCTTTTAACCCCTTGCTCTAACCCCTAATTATCATAAATTTACAGAAGAATCCTCAATCCATCCTGGATTCCCAACACATCTGTAATTAAACCCCAGTGATGCACATAGCCTCCAAAATGCAATTTTTAATGAAATAGAATTTGCCAAGCCCCTTGTAAAATCGTCATAACATCACATATCCTGTTAGGGAAAGATCTTGTAACCATAATCAGTACCAAAACCTTTTTTTTTTGACTTGATCCTCTGCCACGTGACGTGATCACTTCCTGTATCTCCTCGCTCCTCCCACTTAGCGTTCCTCTCATATGACAGAAGAACAAAGACACAACATAACATTTTAGTCGTTAATGCAGTCACTGAGTATTTCCAACCATTCAATATTCGTTTGTTCTACATGATTCACTGTAAGACTTTAACTCAGGACTAATTATAGATCGCCCAAAAACCTTTTTATTTTATTTTAATCCGTTATTTAATTATTTAATTAAATGTATTATAATCCGCTACCATATATCTAATTTATAAATTCAATAGGCTACAAAACAAGTTTCATCTTTAACCAATCTTTAAACTAGAATACTCGTGTTAAACTCTCCCTGTGCCTATTCGTTCCGTCGTCTGTGTTCCTCTGTCTGCAGTTTAACCAATGTGTTGTTTTGCAGAATCCCACGCATGCGCAAATATCATTTACTAAATAGATCGCTCCAAACCATTTCATTTAATTTTAATAGTCTTATTTTAATTAATTATACTCCGTCAACATATATTTGATCTATAAATGTACTACATCTCGCCAAATAGTTTAACGTTCACATAACAGTTACTTTAATAATTTTAAAAGAGTCGTGTTCACCTTTTCCGGTAGCCCTTACCCCTGAAAAGAAGCCTGAAACAATCACATGACCGTACTGGCCACCATTTTGTTCCGTCGCCTCAGCACGACCGCATGTCGAAGATTTAGTGCCGTAAACCAAAACGTGTCATAATCTCGTGTCATAAACTCCCCCTTTCTGTAGTGTAGTGTCGCAAAATTAAACGCATGAGCATAACCATTCAAAAATACTTTTCACCGTGGAAGAAAGATTCTCTCTTCTCTCTCCCCAAACATAATAACAGTCCAGCTGTAATTCCCATTTCCCCCTTATAATCAAACAACATTTAACAGCGCTCACAAAACATACAACCTGACTTACAAACACATAAACAAGTTTAAGAGACTTTCACCCGTCGCAACGGAATCTCTAAGGATATCCGTTAGCATGTAGCACACAACACAATTAACCTGTAGCATTAGCCTTTAGCTTAGCCTAAGGTACACCATAGCATGATTCCCACTTTAGAACCTGAGCAACGATGTACCACGTGGCCTGAAACAATCAAGCCTTAGCTTCAGCCTCTAGCCAACTGTGGCCTACTAGCTATACCAATGAACACCCCGCACCGCGGCCCAATCATTTTCCATGATCATCAATAATCTCCTTCTAACTTTATGCTGCCTTGAAAGATGAATCTCATATCAAGCGGTTATCCCCAAACCAATTTCCCGTCGACCAGAGGCGGAGTATAACATAAATACACCAATTCACTTCATAATTCCCGCTTAAGAAATCAACCTGATTCAGTCTAACTAAGCCCAGGATTTGTAGCCCACTTAATAATAATAATAATTATTATTACAAGTCGCCTCGTTTCGAGGTCTTTTCCAGATTCACGGTGCCCTAAAAATGCATACGTATTCCAACCTTTATTCCCTACTAACCCATTGTCACCCGTTACCAATGAATTATACACGTTCAATACTTAAATCCTACCGTTTAATGCTCTAAATTCCAATTAACTGTCGTTTCCGATGAAATAAATTTAGCAGACTTCAGTCGACCAGCAACAAACACCACCTGAGGCCAGGTCATATGGAACATCCCCTCAATGTACACAAGTCATATCCAATCTACCAAACTCCGAAGCGGTAAGAACACACTCACCCTTTTTCGGCCATGCTTCAGAGAGAGTTAGGCCGGCGGTTGACTGAAACAAAGAGGAGACGCAAACCCATGCCCCACGTTGGGCGCCATTATGTCGTATATGATGAATGGTGGTAATATTGCTGATGAACAAAAAGTCCGTTATGCTGCATCGTGTCAGAAGTTTTTATTCATACCACGAGGTTACAGCATAAATTCACAGACACGCGTTGCCTGGAGAACGCCTCCCAGATTGTTATGGCCGTTCTGTCGTCTCATCGTTTAACTCCTATTTATAAACAATGCAAAGGGAGGGGCTACTCCCTCTTCTGGCCAATCACCAGTCTCCCCTCGGGCGTCACCCTCCAAGCGGCACATTTCAAATAACATCATAAAACATCCCCCCTTTGGCCTGAACAACCAACATTCCATTTCGTCATGAAAAACATTTAACAAAGGCATAATCTTCAGATACGATAGTGTAAATTGGCAAATCAATCGAAAACATTGTACTCTGTACAGTAGATGACCAGAAAAAATACATATATGAATAGCATCCAGTATATGACATTAATCAGTTGGGTTGTGAAGGCCTGCAACCTTATCTCCTACTTCACAAGGACAGATCTAAGAGATTATCAATGACAGAACACCAGGTTTACGGAACCTTTGAACATGCAACAGTGAGGAGGTGTGGACTTTGAATACAAGATTGGGAGAGGATTCCTCACACCACCCAGGCTTTCTTATCAAGACCTGATAGATTTGGAAACCTCAACAGAGGGTGCAGTTAAATGATGAAGTAGAACACCTCGACTATAAAGCATCGTAGGCATAGAGCTGGGAGCATATAACATTCTAATTGTTATGACACAAGTATGTGATTGCTTAGTTGGTTGGAACTTGCTTCTTGCAACACCAGCGTGGTTTGAAATCTGCATGGACTATACTGGGTAGGCCTAGGTACTGTAGCCTAAGCCTAATACATCTGCAATACTCTTCAGTCATCATATTAGTATATTTATACACATAAGAAATAGGGAGATAATTTGTACAAATAGGAAATTAGGCAATTTTTAAGATGTTCAAATTAATTATTATTCATTAATTTATTCGTTTTTATTTATTTATGTATATATTTTTTGGAGGGGTGAGTGGGTAGCCTACATGCAATTACCTGATTATGCCTGTAGTCAGCGTCCATACATTTCTCTGTAACCTACATACAGACTGTCCTAGTGCTCCACCGGATCTTGCGAAGTGCAGCCAGGAAGCTCCATAGAATCCACGTCGCCAAGAAGACTCTCAGCTCCAAACCAGTCTACCAGCCCGACTCGTGTCTCAGGGTGGCCGGGCACTTCGACCAAACACTACCCGCAGACGTGGAACCATGGTAAGGAAATGAAAACATAGATTTAGAATGAAGTGCAACATAGATTTCGAGTGAAATGCTTTATAAAGATCCGCCGCCGCTCAGGCCAGTCGTTTAAGGCTATTATTTTGGGGGGAGGTGTGTTGCTTTTTTTTAACGATTGCTACCCTATTGAAAACACATCCAATGAATTAACCTATGCCTGGCTAGTTGTGAATGATCGAGTATTTGAAGATGTTGCAGAAACTCGAGAAATGGCAACAGTGTAACAAAAACAATATGGTATTCAAAAGAGTCAGGAAGTCTCCGATCGATTGGTTACTAAATATGCTAGTAGTTCAATCTGCAACTTTATATAACGACTTTCTTCTAAACTACTTTATCGCAAATGGCTACCGCCTGAGCATTTCCAGACCAGAGCGAATTATTCATGCACCTCAAATGTGGTGGAATGCGCTTCAGTAAACAGACACGCCCCCATATAAACCAACCCTACAAGGTGAACAGTTGACTTGGTTCCACTTTGCCACTTTGTGAAATGTTGTATCTACACCAGGACTACAATTGTATAGCTGTTAGGGGTCGGATACACTTAGTTTTATTGATAAGCATAATCAGAATAATTTTAATAGATGTAAAAAGTAAATAAAACATTTAAAGGTAAGTGTATCTGACCTGTCTCTATAAAAATATACTCAAATCTGGTCTCTGTCAAAGTTTTATTTCTTGTTCCCGTTCAACTGATCTGCATTTACATAGGAGTAAAGAGTAATCTGGTTAGTATCAATACAAGATACTGTGTCTAGTATTGATAAAGATAAAACCCTCCCGAGTGGCTCAGTGGCCTAATCCTGGTTCGAATCCAGGCTCTGTCGTAGCCGGCCGTGACCAGGAGACCCATGGGGCGGCGCACAATTGACCCAGCGTCGTCCAGGGTAGGGAGCGTCTTCCAGGGTAGGGGAGGGAATGGCCGGCAGGGATGTAGCTCAGTTGGTAGAGCATGGCATTTGCAACGCCAGGGTTGTGGGTTCGATTCCAGTATGAAAAAAATGAAAATGTATGCACTCACTAACTGTAAGTCGCTCTGGATAAGAGCGTCTGCTAAATGACTAAAATGTAACTGTAAATGTATTGGTTAAATTAGGAGTCAGAGGTAGATTATGACTTAATATATTGGGTTCTCTCTCCCTCTGTCCATCTCAGCCTCTCCGGTTAGACATCAAGCGGAAGCTGACCGCTCGGTCAGACCGTGTGAAGAGTGTGGACCTGCACCCAACTGAACCATGGATGGTTGCCAGCCTGTACAATGGCAGTGTCTGTGTCTGGAACCATGAGACACAAGTAAACAACATTCATTCTCATTTAATTTGTTAGGATTCAGGGCTTATTCATTCATTCATTCATTGTACACCTTGCTGCACATTATGTTCTTGAGGGAAATAGGAATGGATTCTTTCTCTATGACAATGATAACCATGATGCTGATGCTTCGTTTGAATCTCATGTCTGTGTAGACCCTGGTGAAGACATTCGAGGTGTGTGACCAGCCTGTGAGAGTGGCTAAGTTTGTGGCGAGGAAGCACTGGGTCATCGCTGGAGCAGTAAGTGTTATAACAACCTTATAACTGCTTATAATGCATCTATCTGTCCTATTCTATTCAGAGTTTTTCCATATCTCTCTCCCTGAATGCTGCAATACTTTTCCATTTTTACCTTCTCCACCCTCTCTCACTACACCTTCTCCTCCCCTTCACTCTCGCTCTTCTCGGGTCCTCCCCAGGATGACATGCAGATCCATGTGTTTAACTACAACACTCTGGAGAGAACTCACATGTTTGAGGCCCACTCTGACTACATCCGCTGCATCGCAGTCCACCCAACACAACCTTACATCCTTACCAGCAGTGGTATGTTGTCTCTCTCTCTCTCTCCCTCTCTCTCCCTCTCTCTCTCTCAATTTATATATATATATATATATATAAATTAGTACCAGTCCAAAGTTTGGACACACCTACTCATTCAAGGGTTTTTCTTTATTTTTACTATTTTCTACATTGTAGAATAATGAATAATAGTGACGACATCAAAACTATGAAATAACACGTATGGAATCATGTAGTAACCAAAAAAGTCTTAAACAAATGAAAATATATTTTATATTTGAGATTAATCAAATATCCACCCTTTGCCTTGATGACATCTTTTCACACTCTTGGCATTCTCTCAACCAGCTTCATGAGGTAGTCACCTGGAATGCATTTCAGTTAACAGGTGTGCCTTCTTAAAAGTTAATTTGTGGAATTTCTTTCCTTCTTAATGCGTTTGAGCCAATCAGTTGTGTTGTGACAAGGTAGGGGGGTATACAGAAGATAGCCCTATTTGGTAAAATACCAAGTCCATATTACGGGAAGAACAGCTCAAATAAGCAAAGAGAAATGATAGTCCATCATTACTTTAAGACATGGAGGTCAGTCAATACGGAAAGTTTCAAGAACTTTTAACGTTTATTCAAGTGCAGTCGCAAAAACCATCAAGCGCTATGATGAAACTGGCTCTCATGAGGACCGCCACAGGAATGGAAGACCCAGAGTTACCTCTGCTGCAGAGGATACGTTCATTAGAGTTACCTGCCTCAGAAATTGCAGCCCAAATAAATGCTTCACAGAGTTCAAGTAACAGACACATCTCAACATCAACTGTTCAGAGGAGACTGTGTGAATCAGGGCTTCATGGTCGAATTGCTACAAAGAAAACCACTACTAAAGGACACCAATAATAAGAAGAGACTTGCTTGGGCCAAGAAACACGAGCAATGGACATTAGATTGGTGGAAGTTTGTCCTTTGGTCTGGAGTCCAAATTGGAGATTTTTGGTTCCAACCGCCATGTCTTTGTGAGACGCGGTGTGGGTGAACGGATGACCTCTGCATGTGTATTTCCCACCGTAAAGCATGGAGGAGGAGGTGTTATGGTGTTAACCAGCATGGCTACCACAGCATTTTGCAGCAATACGCCATCCCATCTGGTTTGGGCTTAGTGGGACTATCATTTTTTTTTCAACAGGACAATGACCCAACACACCTCCAGGCCATGTAAGGGCTATTTAACCAAGAAGGAGAGTGATGGAGTGCTGCATCAGATGAGCTGGCCTCCACATTCCCCCAACCTCAACCAAATTGAGAGGGTTTGGAATGAGTCGGACCGCAGAGTGAAGGAAAAGCAGCCAACAAGTGGTCAGCATATGTGGGAACTCCTTCAAGACCGTTGGAAAAGCATTCCAGGTGAAGCTGGTTGAGAGAATGCCAAGAGTGTGCAAATCTGTCATCAAGGCAAAGGGTGGCTATTTGAAGAATCTCAAATATAAAATATATTTTGATTTGTTTAACACTTTTTTGGTTACTACATGATTCCATATGTGTTATTTCATAGTTGTGATGGCTTCACTATTATTCTACAATGTAGAAAATAGTAAAAATAAAGAAAAACCCCTGAATGGGTAGGTGTTCTAAAACCTTTGACTGGTAGTGTGTGTGTGTATATATATATATATATACTACCAGTCAAAAGTTTTAGAACACCTACCCATTCAGGATATACATAAATTGCAAACATCAACCATAGAATATTGTGAACATGAGCGTGTGTTTGTTTATGTGTCCAGATGACATGCTGATCAAGCTGTGGGACTGGGACAGGAAGTGGGTGTGTGGTCAGGTGTTCGAGGGCCACACCCACTATGTCATGCAGATCGTCATCAACCCTAAAGACAACAACCAATTCGCCAGCGCCTCCCTAGACAGGACCATTAAGGTACATACAGTACACACACACACACTACTCTTTGTGCTTGAAGCACTACAGTTGTTGGTTTGATTATTTTTATGTTGAAGTGCTTATAGTTGTGTAGTGTATGTTTCATGAATTATATACAGTTGTTGTAAATTGTTACCACTACATTTCAGTAATACACTGAAGTATTTGTTGGCCCTTGGCTGTTGCAGGTGTGGCAGCTGGGTTCTTCCACCCCTAATTTCACTCTGGAGGGCCATGAGAAAGGAGTCAACTGTATTGACTACTACAGTGGAGGGGACAAGCCCTACCTTATATCAGGAGCAGACGACCGCCTGGTCAAGATCTGGGACTACCAGGTACACATGGATATAAACATGTAAACACAGTTGATGTACACATGTCACACAGTTTATATGCAGATGTACACAGTTTATATACACATGTACACACAGTTTATTTGCACACTTTCACACACTCTCAAACACAGAATGAAACACACACATATGCACAGCATACACACTTTTCAGATCAGAAAATACACACAAACTCCACTTGAAGTGTTATGCGTCTGTACTAGTGATCATATATATTGAGTTGACTGATTCTACGCTAGTCCTCTCCTCTACCTCCAGAATAAGACGTGTGTGCAGACTCTAGAGGGCCATGCCCAGAATGTGTCCTGTGTCAGCTTTCACCCTGAGCTGCCAATCATCCTCACTGGCTCCGAGGACGGTGGGTAGTGTAGTGTTTACCTTATCTCTTTAGAATGGAATAACAAGGTGTTTACCTATGTTATAACATAGTAATAACATTTTAAAAGTTGTAACATTGTATCGTGGTAATAACATGGTGTTTTCTTGTCATGTTGACTAGTTCCTGTCTTCCCTGGATCCTTTATGTTTGACCACCCTCTCACATGTGACTCTCTTTCGCTCCTCCCATCTTTCGTCTCCTAATGGACATACAGGCACAGTGAGAGTCTGGCATTCCAGCACGTACCGCCTGGATAACACACTGAACTATGGGATGGAACGTGTGTGGTGTGTGTGTGGCCAGCGAGGCGCCAACAGTGTGGCGCTGGGATATGATGAAGGCAGCATCATCATCAAGGTACCAATTTATGGAAACTCTAAACTATACATCTAGAATGATGTGGTGTCAGTGATCTGATTATTAGTATTGTAGGTAATCATATAGAATGTTTGTATTGTTTTTATACAGCACCAGTTTGATTCTATAGGCCTACATATCACCCATGTATGTCCAAGTTGTATGTTCAGCTCAAGTTGAAATATTATGATTTGAACATCACTCCTTCTCTTCCTCTGTCTCATCTTCTTCACTCTCTCCCCCCTCTTCTCCCTTTCTCCCCTTAATCCCCTTCCCCATCTCCTCCCTCCCTCAGTTGGGCCGTGAGGAGCCAGCCATGTCTATGGACTCTAACGGTAAGATCATGTGGGCCAAGCACTCTGAGGTGCAGCAGGCCAACCTGAAGGCCATGGGAGAGGCTGAGATACAGGACGGAGAGAGGCTGTCTCTGGCTGTCAAAGACATGGGCAGCTGTGAGATTTATCCCCAGACCATCCAGCACAACCCCAACGGCAGGTCAGTGTGTGCGTGTGTTACCGTGTTTGTGTGTACTAGTTGCTCATCAAATGTAAACAAAAAAGTATATATATATATATATATATATATATATATATATATATATATATGCTATTTAGCAGATGCTTTTATCCAAAGCGACTTACAGTCATGCGTGCATACATTTGTATGTATGGGTGGCCCCGGGAATCGAACCCACAATCTTGGTGTTACAAGCACCATGCTCTACCAACTGAGCCTTACAGGAGCATAAATGTACAGTATATGTGTGTGTGTCAGTGGAGGCTGCTGAGGGGAGGACAGCTCATAATAATGGCTGGAATCTATGGAATGGTATCAAACGTGGTTTATGTGGTTGATACCATTCCATTGACTCCATTCCAGCCATTACTATGAGCCAACCTCCCCTCAGCTGTCTCCAGTGGTGTGTGATCACACACTAACTAATGTCCGTTGTGTGTGTGTTGCAGGTTTGTGGTGGTGTGTGGGGATGGAGAGTACATCATCTACACTGCAATGGCCCTGAGGAACAAGAGCTTTGGTTCAGCACAGGAGTTTGTCTGGGCCCACGACTCCTCAGAGTAAGTAAAGTCAACCGCACCCTGACAACTCATACACAGTCATCTATGGACCATCCACGGTCTAGTATGGTCAGGCTGACTTAACCGCTGTTGTTTCTATGGCAGGTATGCTACTCGGGAGAGCACCAGCATGGTCAAAATCTTCAAGAACTTCAAGGAGAAGAAGTCTTTTAAACCAGACTTTGGGGCAGAAGGTGAGACAAACATATCAGATTTGATCCAGTATGAACTGACTCCCTCTGTGTGCGTGTGCATGCAGATGATATGCTGATGTGTTATAACTAACTATATGTGTGTATCATCCCCTGCAGGTATCCACGGTGGGTTCTTGCTGGGCGTGAGGTCAGTGAGTGGTCTGGCCTTCTACGACTGGGAGAACACAGAACTGGTCCGCCGCATTGAGATCCAGCCTAAACATGTGAGTCAGCTACAGTATTTAAACTGCTAATAATCCACAGTTGATCTATATCAACTTTCAGACACTTGACCATTTACAGATTTATAGCAGGTCCAGGCTGCGCCTAGCTCAGGTCAAGAGGGTGAGAAGCCACCCACAGCGACCCAACCCTCCTCCAACCTCCTCCCCACAGCGACCCAACCCTCCTCTAACCTCCTCCCCACAGCGACCCAACCCTCCTCTAACCTCCTCCCCATAGCGACCCAACCCTCCTCTAACCTCCTCCCCACAGTGACCCAACCCTCCTCTAACCTCCTCCCCACAGCGATCCAACCCTCCTGTAACCTCCTCTCCACAGCGATCCAACCCTCCTCTAACCCCCTCTCCACAGCGATCCAAGCCTCCTGTAACATTTTACATTACATTTACATTTTAGTCATTTAGCAGACGCTCTTATCCAGAGCGACTTACAGTTAGTGAGTGCATACATATTATTATTATTATTTTTTTTTCATACTGGCCCCCCGTGGGAATCGAACCCACAACCCTGGTGTTGCAAACGCCATGCTCTACCAACTGAGCTACATCCCTGCTGGCCATTCCCTCCCCTACCCTGGACGACGCTGGGCCAATTGTGCGCCGCCCCATGGGTCTCCCGGTCACGGCCAGCTACGACAGAGCCTGGATTCGAACCAGGATCTACTAGTGGCACAGCTAGCACTGCGATGCAGTGCCTTAGACCACTTGCGCCATCCTGGGAGAGTACCCTCCTCCCACAGCAACCAAGCCTCCTCTAACCCAGCAGCGAACCCAACCCTCATCTAAACCCCCTCTACACAGACGATTCCAACCCTCCTCTGACCCCCTCATCCACAGCCAATCCAAGCCCTCCTGCTAAAACCTTCCCCACAGACAATCAACCTCATGGAAATCCATCCCACAGCAATCCAACCCGCCTGTAACCCTACTTCCCACAGCGATCCAAGCCTCCTGTAACCTTCTCCCCACAGCGATCCAAGCCTCCTGTAACCTTCTCCCCACAGCGACCCACTCCTCCTCTAACCTCCTGTAAGCTCTCCACCAACCCATCTCTCTACCCCTCTCCACCCAATCTATCCACAGATCCAACCCTCCTCTAATCCTCTCCACAGTATCCAACCACTCTAACCCCTCTCCCAGCGACACCCTACCAACCCCTTCCACAGCGATCCAACCCTCCTAACGCCTCACCACACACAACCCTCTGTAACCTCTCCCCACCAATCCAACCCTCCTCTACCCCTCTCCACAGCTCCAACCTCCTTCACATCACGTGCGATCCAACCTCTAAATCTCCAACCTCCTCTAACCCCCTCACACAGGATCCAACCCTCTCTAACCCCTCTCCACAGCGACCCAACCCTCTTAACCCTCTCCACAGCGATGCCAACCCTCTCTAACCCCCTCCCACAGGCCACCCCAACCTCTCCCCCAATCCCACCCCCTCTCCACAGCAATCCAACCCTCCTGTAACTTCTTATCCACTGCGATCCAAGCCTCCTGTAACCCCCCTTTCCACAGCGATCCAACCCCCTCCCCACAGCGATCCAACCCTCCTCTAACCTCCTCTCTACAGCGACCCAATCCTCTTCTAACCCCCTCTCCACAGCGATCCAACCCTCCTGTAGCCTCTTATCCACACGATCCAACCCTCCTCTAACCCCCTCTCCACAGCGACCCAACCCTACCTCTAACCCCCTCTCCACAGCGACCAACCTCTCTAATCCTCACACACGACCCAACCCCCTCACCTCCTCTCCACAGCGATCCAACCCTCCTTAACCTCTTATCCACAGCGATCCAACCCTCCTCTAACCCCCTCTCCACAGTGCCCCAACCTCTCTAACCCCTCTCCACAGCAATCCAACCCTCCTGTAACTTCTTATCCACATGCGATCCAAGCCTCCTCTAACCCCCTTTCCACAGCGATCCAAGCCTCCCTACCCCCTCACAGCGATCCAACCCTCCTCTAACCCCTCTACACGACCCACGATCCCAACCCTCTCAACACACCCTCTCCACAGCGATCCAAGCCTCCTCTAACCCCCTCTCCACAGCGACCCAACCCTCCTCTAACCCCCTCTCCACAGCGACCCAACCCTCCTCTAACCCCCTCTCCACAGCGATCCAACCTCTCTTCTGACCTCTTCTTCCACAGCGATCCAACCCTCCTCTAACCCCCTCTCCACAGCGATCCAACCCTCCTGTAACCTCCTCTCCACAGCAATCCAACTCTAACCCCCTCTCCACAGCGATCCAACCCTCCTGTAACACATCTCCACAGCGACCCAACCCTCCTCTAACCCCGTCTCCACAGCGATCCAACCCTCCTGTAACAACCTCTCCATAGCGACACAACCCTCCTCTAACCTCCTCTCCACAGCGATCCCACCCTCCTCTAACCTCCTCTCCATAGCAAGTCAACCCTCCTCTAACCCCCTCTCCACAGCGATCCCACCCTCCTCTAACTGCCTCTCCACAGCGATCCAACCCTCCTCTAACCTCCTCTTCTTTCCTCAGATCTTCTGGTCAGAGTCTGGGGAGCTGGTTTGTATCGCCACGGAGGAGTCTTTCTTTGTGCTGCGCTACCTGGCTGAGAAAGTGGCAACAGCACAGGAGACCAAGGAGGGAGTCACTGAGGACGGGATAGAGGACGCCTTCGAGGTGAGACTACACTACATCTAGAGATTAGATTCTGGACAAGAGGATTTATTTTGTATTTGTACTGTAACATTTTCTTCTATATCTATTTCTCTCCCCCTCCCCCCTCTCTCTCTCTAGGTGTTGGGTGAGATTCAGGAGGTGGTGAAGACAGGTCTGTGGGTGGGAGACTGTTTCATCTACACCAGCTCAGTCAACAGACTCAACTACTACGTAGGAGGAGAGATCGTCACCATCGCCCACCTGGACAGGTAAGACTATACCTACCTGCTGAGACTGCTACAAACCATTGACCTGTTCACCTCAAATTACCTGCTATGTACTGTACCTGTCAGTCTAAAATACTGGTGCTATATTAACTCCCCTGTCTGTCTGCTATAGAACTATGTACTGTACCTGTCGGTCTAAAATAATGGTGTTGTATTGACTCCCCTGTCTGTCTGCTATAGAACTATGTACTGTACCTGTCGGTCTAAAATAATGGTGTTGTATTGACTCCCCTGTCTGTCTGCTATAGAACTATGTACCTGCTGGGCTACATCCCTAAGGATGACCGTCTGTATCTGGGTGATAAGGAGCTGAACATCGTCACTTACTCTCTGCTGGTGTCAGTGCTAGAGTACCAGACTGCTGTAATGAGGAGGGACTTTGGGATGGCCGACAGGGTCCTACCCACCATCCCTAAAGAGATGAGGACCAGGGTCGCCCACTTCCTAGAGAAACAGGTGAGACTGAGAGGGTGGGTGTATTTTTACATTGGTATGCGTCTTAACGCATACCATTTCAGTGAATGTGTCCTCTCTTCTGTCTGTGTATCTTTGTGTGTGTAACCCTTTCTCTTATCTCTATCTCTCTCTACAGGGTTTCAGGCAGCAGGCCCTGGCTGTGTCCACAGACTCAGAACACAGGTTTGAGTTGGCTCTGCAGCTAGGAGAACTGAAGATCGCCTACCAGCTGGCTGTAGAATCCGAGGTAAGACATCACGTAAAGAGAAAGACTGGGGACATTTTTGACAAACTGGGAATTATATAGCAGTCTTGGAATGAAAGGGAAGTATTGAGAAATGTAGGGCCAAATGTGGATATTGGGAGACATATTTGGAGACCTCGGTATAAGATGACATGAGAATAACTGTAGTAAAGGGTATATCTTATCATATTTTTAACTAATCAAAAGCATAGTGAATAGGGCTTCTGTTTTGTGTTTGTGATGACTGTCTTTCTAACATGGCATACCTGTTCCCTCTCTCTTTTTCCCTCCCTTTCTCTCTCTCTCCACCTCCTCTTCTCCTCTCTCCCTGGCACGGTGCCCTGCAGTCGGAGCAGAAGTGGAAGCAGCTGGCAGAGCTGGCCACCACTAAGTGCCAGTTTGGCCTGGCCCAGGACTGTCTGCACCATGCCCAGGACTATGGAGGGCTGCTGCTGCTGGCCACAGCCTCGGGCAACGCCAGCATGGTGGGCAAGCTGGCAGAGGGGGCAGAGAGAGACGGCAAAACCAATGTGGCTTTCCTTACCTATTTCCTCCAGGGGAAGTAAGTGTGTTTAGGGAGAGAAGGGTGTGGGGGTGGATGTTACAGAGGAAGGTGAGGAGGAGTGAGCAGAGAGTACTGGCCGGTGTTTAGGTTGAACTTTTATATGTATATCATCATCATGTGGTCCTCTGTAGCTCTGTAGCTCAGCTGGTAGAGCACGGCGCTTGTAACGCCAAAGTAGTGGGTTCGATCCCCGGGACCACCCATACACAAAAAAAAAAATGGCATATTATTATTATTATTATTATTATTATATCATCATAATCTGTCAATACATTATTCTTATCGTTTCATCATTTATAATTCATTATTGGATCTTGGTGCGCTTTATATGTTTATGATTTAGCTCTGTATGTGTCAATGTCCTTGGTTTCATCATTAATAATTGTATCTCCATATTTCTGTTCTGTTTATTCCTTCCAGACTGGACAAATGTTTGGAGCTCCTCATTAAAACCAACCGGCTGCCAGAGGCTGCATTCCTGGCCAGAACGTACCTGCCCAGCCATGTGTCTAGGTACAGCACTGGCAGGTTGACGTTTATTATCAATAATCTTGCCCTGGAGGCAGAACTAAGCAATTTCCACTAGTGGGCCAGCAGTCATAATTGGTTATATTGTAAAAATTCATGAAAACAAAATCTAGTTTTTTGGTCTTCATTTAAGGTTAGGGTTAAGCATTCGTGTTAGCAGTGTTGTTAAGGTCAGTGTTGTTAAAGTCAGATTTTATGACTTAGTGGCTATGCCAGCTAGTGACCACTCCGCAGAGCTACCTCCAGAACATGATTCATGATGGAAAAACGCTAACCTGCATAGCACTGTGTGTGTGTCTGTGTGTACTGATCTCGCTGTGTCTCCAGAGTGGTGAAGCTGTGGAAGGAGAGCCTGGGGAAGGTGAATCAGAAGGCAGCTGATGCGTTGGCTGACCCTACAGACTACAGCAATCTGTTCCCCGGCCTACAGGAGGCCTTCCTGGCCGAAGACTACCTGAAGGAGACCCACGTCAGGCTGAGGCCTGCCGCAGAGTACCCCCTCATCACCGTGAGTAGATACACACACACACACACACACACACACATCTTGGGCATATTGTGGCAAAACGATTGCAACCGTTTTGATTTTTTTTAAATGTTTCATACCTATTTAACACGACCCTGATTGAACATGTTCTTTCCATCTTACACTGAACAAAAATATAAACGCAACATGTAAAGTGTTGGTCCCATGTTTCATGAGCTGAACTGAAAGATCCCTGAAGTTTTCCATGCGCACAAAAACCTAATTTCTCTCAAGTTTTGTGCACAAATTTGTTTACATCCCTGTTTGTGAGCATTTCTCCTTTGCCAAGATAATCCATCCACCTGACAGGTGTGGCATATCAAGAAGCTGATTAAACAGCATGATCATTACACAGATGCACCTTGTGCTGGGTACAATAAATGGCCCATTGTCGTGCCATTCATCCGCCACCATCACCTCATATTTCAGCATGATAATGCACGGCCCCATGTCGTAAGGATCTGTACACAATTCCTGGAAGCTGAAAATGTCCCAGTTCTTGTATGGCCTGCATACTCACCAGACATGTTTGGGATGCTCTGGATCGATGTGTACGACAGCGTGTTCCAGTTCCCGCCAATATCCAGTAATTTCGCATAGCCATTGAAGAGGCGTGGGACAACATTCCACAGGCCACAATCAACAATCTGATCAACTCTATGCAAAGGAGATGTGTCGCACTGCATGAGGCAAATGGTGGTCACACCAGATACTGACTGGTTTTCCTATCCACGTCCCTACCTTTTTTTAAAGGTATCTGTTACCAACTGTATTCCCAGTCATGTGAAATCCATAGATTAGGGCATAATTAATTTATTTCAATTGACTGATTTCCTTATATGAACTGTAACTCAGTAAAATCTTTGAAATTGTTGCGTTTTTATTTTTGTTCAGTATAGTTATATTACTGTAGTGTATTAGTGACACCTAGTGGTGCAATACCAGCTGAGCACTATAGATACATGTGATGCACTGATGAACTCGCTCAATGTGTGCGACCACCAGTAAAATACATGTCAAGTCAATACTCTACAGTTACCATAACTCCTTTGTACCCTCTGCCCTTGTTTTCTAGTCAAATAAATAATATAATAATAATGCTTATTATAATAGTATAAGCCTTGTACCTGTACTTGTAATAGTACTGTTGTAATACTGTGCTGTTCTACCTCCCCACCTCACTGTTCTACCTCCCCACCTCACTGTTCTACCTCCCACCTCACTGTTCTACCTCTCCACCTCACTGTTCTACCTCCCCACCTCACTGTTCTACCTCTCCCCCACCTCACTGTTCTACCTCCCCACCTCACTGTTCTACCTCCCCACCTCACTGTTCTGCCTCCACTCACTGTTCTACCTTCCCTACTCACTGTTCTACCTCCCCACCTCACTGTTCTACCTCCACCTCACTGTTCTACCTCCCCCTCACTGTTACTCTACCTCTCCACCTCACTGTTCTCCTCCCCACCTCACTGTTCTACCTCCCAACTCACTTGTTCTACCTCTCCACCTCACTGTTCTACCTCTCCCACCTCACTGTTCTACCTCCCCACCTCACTGTTCTACCTCCCCACCTCACTGTTCTACCTCTCCACCTCACTGTTCTACCTCTCCACCTCACTGTTCTACCTCTCCACCTCACTGTTCTACCTCTCCACTCTGCAGCCCAATGAGGATAGGAATGTCCTGGGGGAATCTGCAGACTTTGTGCCAAAAGTAGTGCCGGCTGAACCAGAGGTAAAGTCTGGAATCTCACACCTACTGGAATACTGGACATGGCCACAGCTGTTGTATATAGTACTACTTACATAACCCCTAGTTTAGACAACCATTCAGTGTGATTTGTCAACTTGTCATTCTCAATTAAAATATGCTACTATCACTGTTCTATGTGCAGGAGGTTGCTGGGAGCATGGATGAAACCCCTGTATTGGTAGCAGTGGTAGAAACCCCCGTAATGGCAGCAGTGGTGGAGGCTGCAGCTCCAGAAGCTCCAGTAGTGGAAGAGTCCATTGTCATGGAAGAGGTAGAGCCTGTTGTGGCTGCAGTGGAGGAGTTTATCCCAGCAGTAGAAGAATCTATCCCAGTGACAGAAGTGGAACCAACTATGGCTGCAGTGGAAGAATCCATTGAGATGGCAGAGGAGGAACCCATTATTGTTGAAGTGGAAGCTCCCAAGCCAGAGGAGGCAACAGCAGTGGAAGATACCATCACTAAGATAGAGGTTCTTGTCACCATAGAAAACGGCACAGAAGCACCCCTCTTGGCGCCAGAGGTAGCACAGTCCACCCCAGAGGAAGAAGTCATAGCAACACCAAAGGAGGCTGTTGAGGAAGAACCTGCGACAATGAAGCCCATAGCAACAGATGCACCTGTTACCGAGTTGGTCACAGAACCACAGATTGTAACAGAAGCACCAGTTGCAGAGGCAACAGAATCAGAACCTGTTACCATAGAAGCGGTGGTGGAAGTTGAAGCACCCATTGCCGCAGCAGTACTAGAAGCCATAGCAACAGAACCCACGGTTACAGAGGAAGTAACAGAACCCATAGCAACAGAACAAGCACCTGTTACCATAGAAGTGGCAGTGGCAGCAGAAGCACCCATTACTGAGGCAGTAGCAGAACCCATAGCAGCAGCTGAAGAAGCCCCAGTCATTGTAGAAGAGAATGAACCTGCTCCAGCCCCAGTCCTAGCCCCAGTCATAGACCCAACCCCAGTCCTAGCCCCAGCCATAGACCCAACCCCAGTCCTAGCCCCAGCCATAGACCCAACCCCAGTCCTAGCCCCAGCCATAGACCCAACCCCAGTCCTAGCCCCAGCCATAGACCCAACCCCAGTCCTAGCCCCAGCCATAGACCCAACCCCAGTCCTAGCCCCAGCCATAGACCCAACCCCAGTCCTAGCCCCAGCCATAGACCCAACCCCAGTCCTAGCCCCAGCCATAGACACAACCCCAGTCCTAGCCCCAGCCATAGACCCAACCCCAGTCCTAGCCCCAGCCATAGACCCAACCCCAGTCCTAGCCCCAGCCATAGACCCAACCCCAGACCTAGCCCCAGCCATAGACCCAACCCCAGTCCTACCCCAAGTCATAGACCTTAGTCCTGTCCTACCCCCAGCCCTCGGCTCAACCCCACACATAGATATAGCCCCAGAACCAGTCATAGACCTAGCCCCAGCCCCAGCCATAGACCTAGCCCCAGCCATAGATCCAGCTCCAAACCCAGCCGTAGAGGACCAGGCTGCAGCAGCCCCAGCAGTAGAGCCCCTACCAGCCCTCATCCAGGTGGTTCCACCAGGCCCAGAGCCAGGCCCTGCAGCCCCTCTAGCTGCCCCCTTAGAGGGTAAAGGAGTGGAGGAGCCAGCCCCTGCAGCAGTAGCAGTAGCAGCAGCATCCATGGACCTGCTGGATCTGAATGATAAATGGAATGATGAGGAGGTAAAGCTAACCAGAGTCTATACATCCTGTCATGACTTACACACTATTTAGAATGCTAATCTATATTGGAAATCACTTTTTGATGTTTATTGATATTGAACAATGATGTACTCTATATGAATGTTAAGGGACAACAATGTACCAGCGAGGTACTTCACCCTCGCCCACACTGACTCATCACTCATATACATTGCTTTTCCCTCCAGGGCCTTGACGATCTGGACCTGGACAACTTTGATCTGGACGATGACATCGACACCACAGATGTCAATCTGGACGATGACTTCTTAGACGACTGAAAGTCTTGGTGGAGAAATCTCTTTAAAGTGACCAAAGAACACGTAGTGTGGGAGTGTGTGTGGGTGAATGGGAGTGTGTGGGTGAATGGGAGTGTGTGTGGGTGACGGGGGTGTTTTTACCTTTACAGTGAAACTGGTGAAAGGTGGGGTGGATGAGTTTATGTCTTTCTATCTTTATACATGAACTGTGAAACACCGTGGGAGGGGGTTTGTAGAATGCTTTGGGTGATAATGGGATGTACAGGGTTCATTCATTAGGAATGAATGCAGGACATTTTTTGAAACGGGAAACAAAAATGTGCCTTATTGAACAGGTACAAATTTACTGTGTCAAATAGATTTCTCTGGTTTCGCACATGCTGAACACGACCCTGGGTTGTATTCATTAGTCGTATTTCGTTGCAAAACATTTTGCAATGGAAACTGTTTACTCCAAATACAAAACAAGTTTCTATTGCACAAATTCAGGTCGGTTCCTAGAGTAAACTTTTTCCATTGCAAAATATTTAGCAATGGAATCCAACTAATGAATACACCAACTGTCACATTGACCTACAGTATAGAATGATAGTGTGAACCAGAGGGGTCATGGGTTTGAAATGTTTACCGTATCCTCTCACATAGGAAGAGAATAGTTTACTACACTACAGTACCTCTTACCCCTAGCTAACCAGGCTTGGGTCTATCTTTCATTAGTTAGGTTCTCCTCACAGGTGATGAGCTTGTCATCAGTATACCTCTACATGTCATGGCAAGCATGCTGCTCTGTCATGGTCTAGTGTAGGGTTGCCCAACCCTGTTCCTGGAGAGCTACTCTCCTGGAGGTTTTCGTTCCAACCCCAGGTGTTAATAACCTGATTCATCTTATCAACCTGCTAATTATTAGAATCAGATGTGCTAGATTAGGGTTGGAGCAAAAACCTACAAGACAGTAGCTCTCCAGGAACAGGGTTGGGCAGTCCCGGTCTAGTGCTTTATGCCTCTGCTGTTTTTATAAGGAACCTACTTCGCTGTTACAGATGTGAACCCAAGTGCCTTATGTACTGGTCTAGAAAAGGGATTGAAATGTTATCAACTCAGTAAAGATGACAAGTGTTTGTCTGAATCAGGCCATAGGAATAATTCAGATTCAATAAATGAGAGAAAGTATATAAACACATTTTTATTTTGTATGTACATAAATCATGATCATTAAAAAGCTTACAGTCAGTTCCAATGTTGATATACAGTATGATTAAGGTTATGGACAAATGACAAGGTTGAAATGCAGAAGTGAATATCTGCACTGCGTCGTGTGCCCTTCCACCAAATGATAGACTGAAGCTTGGTGCACCCCAATTATGTGCACATTTTGATGCCATTCATTCCAATGGACACTTGGCTTGCAAGTGGTTCATATGAGCTCCATAGTTGAAGGACAAAGTTATTCTCTTTGTTTACTGTAATTGTCCAGTTGATGAAAGTTTGGGTCATGGATAGGCAGGCCATTGGGGATAATGTCACAGCTCCATTGGTTTGTTGTTGTGGGTGTGAGGTGTATGGGACGGTCAGACTGAGCTCTGCTGTGATGTGACAGAGCTCTCCAGTGGTTAGGTATGGTGATGCATGGGACGGTCAGACGGCGCTCTCTGCGGAGGTCTGTTCGTAGGCCTGCAGGGCCAGCTCTATGTATCCTGCCCTCTGGGACTCCCGCTTGGCGTAGATCTGGTGGGGAACAGACACACAGAGGTTAAACAAAGGGTTTACTGGGTATCATGGCTACCAATATGGTGACTGGTGCATCAACCTATCAATCAGGTCCTGAGATGCACTAGTGTCTGCTGATTGGGCCCCACCTTGAGCAGGTCCAGTCCAGAGGCCTGTTGGCTGGAGGCCTCCTGGGCTATCTCACTGTGTGGATGGACCTTGTTGAACAGACCCACCAGACTCACTGCATCCTGCAACCTAGAACAACCAGAACAATAAAGCCAGTGTTAGTGTGGATACTCTGGGCTAACAATGACAGTTATGGTGTTAAATCATTACTTGTTGTCACAATGTAACACTGTTATAATATGGCATTTGGAGTCATAAACAGATGGCATGGGGTGTCAGTTTCAATAAAGTTGGAGAAAAACAAGCCTCTAACACAGTGGTTCCCAACCAGGGGTACTAGGACCCCTGGGGGTACTTGAGAAGATTCATGAGACCATAGTCTAACAAGTAAAATGCACATGAGGGGGTACTTCAGGGGTACTCCGGGCAGAGCAAAATTCAGTAGGTGGTACAGTAACCGAAAAAGGTTGGGAGCCACTGCTCTAACATACACGGACACTCACAGGTCTTTCTGCAGCATGTCTATGATGAGTCCGTCCACCCTCCTGGCATTGACCAGGTACCAGACCAGGCCACCAAAATGTCTGGTGGAGCGCAGCAGACCATACTTCCCCATCTTCTCTAGATTCTCATAGGTGGCTGCATGCACCTGGACAACAGAGCACAGCCAATAGGAAGAGGGTTTTACTAACTGTTAATGGGTAATAATAACTGAACAATACATCTGGACAGCCTGTTGAGTGTGAAGGCAGTGGTCTTTTACCCTGATGTATTCTGAGGAGTCAGGTTCAAACTGGACCTGGCACAGATCCAACACATCCTCATGACGATCCTGGCCAAACACCACCTTCAGGTTCTCCTCCTTGAAGACAGGGGGTGCTGTGAGCCTGCGGCCCCCTTTAGGGAAGTAGACCTGCAGGATCCTGTCTCTCTCCTCCCACGATGCCTTCCTCAGTGTCCCAGTGGGTTCCCGGATCACTATGAACCGCTCCTGGAAACACCAGGAGACAACCATGGAAGAGAGAACAAAATTTGAGTGAGAAGACAAAAAAGAGCACTAATTGTAAATGATAACCAATATTTATGTTGATGGACACAAACCATTACACACTTTGCCTGTGGTGTACTGTATGTTGAATGTAACGTTAGTGGACACAAACAAACACACTCTCTTCCTCTCTCTCCTACCCTGTGCGGTATGTTGAAGGTGATGTCAGTGAAGACGTATTTGGCTGTGTCCATGCCCTCCAGGATCTTGTCCTCAGACAGGACATCGTTGATGGGCTTCCTCTCCGGCAGCACTGGAGGCATCTTCAGCAGCCTCTGGGCCTGCTCCCTGGCACTCTGGGTCGCCTACAACACAAACACTGACACATTAACAAGACTGACACTAGCTGTACAGAGACATAATCTGCCAACTGAAATGTTCAGAATGTTGCAGCAGATGTTGTAGACCCATTCCCTACTCTGCATGACAGACAAACTATCTGCCCTGCTGTGTGTGTGTGTGTCCATACCGCCTTCAGCTGTGCATCGGTCATAAGTTTGTATGTGGGCGGCTTCAGCTCCTGTTTGATGGGTCTGAACACCTTCTCCAGGTCCAAGCCTGTGATTCGGGTTAGGATGTCCTGCACCTCTGCATCCATAAACTGGGGCTTCACATTGGCATCTGGAGAACCTAGAAACAAATGAATGACTTCAGAGATGGATTAAGCTAGCTCTGGTCTCGGATCTGCAAGTACGCCCTGCATCAGAGTTAGTCACACTGCGCATATTGACACAGGAAGTGATCTCACTGATGTCGCAAAACAGGAAGAATGGCGCCAAGTACAAACCAAAGATTGTATGTACAAACCTTCCTCTCCTGAATACAAGCCTTCTAGATACTTTTCATAATTGCACTTATCTTCAACTCCTGGAATGATTGTTACATCATTGTTACATGTTCTCCAAAGAATCTTAAAATGGTACTTAAAGATCAGAAATCAAACTTGACGAGAGTGAGGATGAAGATAGATACAGTATCAGTCAAAAGTTTAGACACACCTACTCATTCATTCCAGGGTTTTTCTTTATTTTTACTATTTTCTACATTATAGAATAATAGTGAAGCCATCAAAACTATGAAATAGCAAATATGGAATCATGTAGTAACCAAAAAAGTTAACAAATCAAAATATATTTTATATTTGAGATTCTTCAAATAGCCACCACTTGCCTTGATGACAGTTTTGCACACTCTTGGCATTCTCTCAACCAGCTTCATGGGGTAATCACCTGGAATGCATTTCAATTAACAGGTGTGCCTTGTTAAAAGTTAATTTGTGGAATTTCTTTCCTTCTTAATGCGTTTGAGCCAATCAGTTGTGTTGTGACAAGGTAGGGGTAGTATACAGAAGATAGCCCTATTTGGTAAAAGACCAAGTTCAGATTATGGTAAGAACAGCTCAAATAAGCAAAGAGAAATGATAGTCCATCATTACTTTAAGACATGAAGGTCAGTCAATCCGGAAAATGTCAAGAACTTTGAAAGTTTCTTCAAGTGCAGTCGGAAAACCATCAAGCGCTATGATGAAACTGGCTCTCATGAGGACCGCCACAGGAAAGGAAGAACCAGAGTTCCCTCTGCTGCAGAGGATAAATTCATTAGAGTTAACTGCACCTCAGATTGCAGCCCAAATAAATGCTTCAGAGTTCAAGTAACAGACACATCTCAACATCAACTGTTCAGAGGAGACTGCGTGAATCAGGCCTTCATGGTCGAATTGCTGCAAAGAAACCACTACTAAAGGACACCAATAAGAAGAAGAGACTTGCTTGGGCCAAGAAACCCGAACAATGGACATTAGACCAGTGGAAATCTGTCCTTTGGTCTGATGAGTCCAAATTTGAGATTTTTGGTTCCAACCGCCGTGTCTTTGTGAGACGCAGAGTAGGTGAATGGATGATCTCTGCATAGTGAGTGCATACATTTTCATACTTTTTTCGTACCCTGGTGTTGCAAGCACCATGCTCTACCAACTGAGCTACATGGGACTTGTTTCTAAACCAATACATGTATTACTAGTAAGACATAATGTGGTATATTGTTTAATTTCAGATTTTTGGTGACCTGAGCCTTTTAACCAAAATATCACAAAAGAGACAGAAATGTTCACCTGCCCCTTTAAGGGTGGGAAGTTACCGTGGTAACGCGACTCAAGAACCTGTGAGATTGAGTGACTAATAGCTGCGTTGTCTTCTCTTCCCTAGAAGTTGAAACTGAAACATTGAAAAACAACCTAGCTTGTAAACAAAACAATGTAATTAGCCAAGGAACACAAGTACAAAGTCTCACTTCAGTAGACTTTCGTTTCAAGTAAATTAGACCAACTGTTATGCCTGTGCACTGCCAATCTAAAAATGAATATTTCACTCAGCTCTTCACGTGCGCACAGGCTCTAGCCAGGCAGTGTTGCAACTCGAGGTGGGATAGGCTATAGGATTTGTAGTGCTTTGACTTTGTGCGATTAATTTACCAGCTATGAAACAAAAAAACGGCAGAAATACTTTGAAAACAGCTACCGCTGCATTTACTTTGCTATAAATGTGATCATACTTGTCTTTTTATTTCCAAATGCTCGCACTGTGGAGCCCTGACCACCCTTCAACGTGGCTGGTGAAATGTACATCTTACCCGGCAATGCCAAAATCTACCCGCATATGGCAGGTGTTAATTGTAGGCCCTGTATTATTATTATTTGTATTATTATTATTATTATTAATTATTATTATAATAAGTCATTTACATTTCTAATTGTCGGAGTGGACATGCTACACTTGTGAGAAAACAATTTTTGTTTATTTCATTCCATTTATGAATTTTGTTAATTTATTAATCGTCTTTTGTTTGAAAAGCTCCTGTCAATGTTGAGTAAGGACGCGCACCTGATTATGCATATAGACGTAGGACTAGTCTACATGGCCAGCGCGCAAATGTAGGCCTACAAATGTGCCCATTTGGGGATGTTTGATAGTATTTCTGATTGTCTTAACTCACCACCACTAATGACCTGTGGAACTTCAAGGTAATTTTTCTTCACCTCAAACAGCAAGTAAACTAAACCTGTTTTTAGAATCAAATGAGAGTGACAATAGTTCCTCAAAAGTATTTTAACAATATTTCCAGCTCTCTCCCTTTCATTAACCACTCGACATTAAAGGCTAAATATAACGCTCTGATCCAGTGGAAACGTCATAGAATGCCTGATTACTTCTTAACCCTTGCACAAATAGCCTACAGCCGTGTCAGTCCTGAGGTCACTGGCCTCGGGACTGACACATTTTATACAATGTTTCAAGTTTGCTAGAGTGAATTTTGAGCGACCCAGTTGATACAATATTTCAAGTTCAAGTTGAGCAATGTTTTTATGTGTTGGCTTTATGTAGTCTATTTTTACATTGTAGGCAATATGTTACTTTTATATAATTTTCATTTAGATAGAATGTAGATTAACCACAGACAATGACTTTGAGATACAAAGACTATTATACTTTAAATGAAACTGTTCTACAAAAATGTGCATATGAAAATCCTAACTGGCATGCAGATCATTAGAAATGGTAGGATAAATTGGCACTCCAAAAGGAAAAGGTGTAGCCTATTACAGGCAACTTCAGGAGCATAATGGCAGAATCTGCCAAGGCCAGCAGCAGTAGGAGGGTCGGGAACAGGTTTTTTTTCTTCTGGTTCGGCTATCTTGAGCTCTTCTTCGATGAGGTTTAACGGCAGTTGGCATCCAATAAATGTTCCATTACCGCCACCTACTAGACTGGAGTACAACTCCCTTATACTTTGCTTGAAAAAATAAAATAAAAAATACCCTACCATCTAACACTATACTCACAAAAAAAGTAAACACCACCCTACTCCACTAATTAAATAAATGTAGTCCTACTTCAGACCAACAGCCTGAAAGGATGGGACACCACCACTTAACACACCCTGTAACTCTTCTGATGTCAAGTCTCGCAAACCCAAATACCTCTCTGAAGCTGCCACCACAACCTCAATTTTCTGCGACTTATGTTCCATCCCTGCAGTACAGTTGATAACCATTGCTATAAATGCTAAAAATCCAATCTTACTGAAACATACAGTATATCACTTGTTGGTTTATCCCTCTGTACTGGTACAGATCTACTACTCACACCACTCCTCTCAGGATCCCTCCCCTTTGACCCATCTTCCTCTACTTTCTTCACTGCCTCAACATATGACAACTTCTGCACTACTTTAACCCTGGAAACCTCAACCTGCCTCTCTCGCACGGGACATTTCTGATCCCCAGCCCCATGGGCACCCCTACAATTAACACATACCATTACTTTCCACAAATTCCTTTGTCTCATGCCCTTCTGCACACTTCTCATACCTAGGAACCTCCCTCCTACACACTGCTGCCACATGCCCATAAGCTTGACACCTGTAACAACGTAATGTATTCGGCACAAAAGCTCGTACAGGATAACTTATATATCCTAACATCACTTTGTCGGGCAAAGACTCAACAAAACTCAAAGAACAGACAACGACGCTTCTATTTCACCACTCACGCCACCTGTCTGCATCGCACCAAATGACAAGCACCACAAACACCGGGAATCTTCCCCTTCAGTTGGTCAACTTTTACATTTACCGCTACCCCAGTAATCACTTCTTTCAATGGCGCCCTTTTCTTGAATGCAGAGTGCCTGCTCCCTCTGCCCAGCAGAAACAAACAATTATCACTAGACCACTTCTGGTTACCCTAACGGATTCCAAAGCACCCAACTGCTTTCACCCACCCTGAAACCACAAATGGATCAGCCAAAAGGCAAGGGTCCACTATTTCCCAAAACGTCATTACTACTGTCACAGACTCCTCTTTATCCTACCGCAACACTTTACCATTTCAAACAAGCGCGCTCTTCCAACCACCATCTCGCTTCCTTCACCCTCCGATCCCTCATACTACGCCCCCAACATCTGCCGCCCTACTCTATCTTGATCTCTGGCTCCCTCGAGACATTTGTGTGTCTTAATTAGTTAATCAAACCGCCTGCTTAAAGCATCAGACAAGTTCAGTATATATAGCTTAGTTGCGTTTATTAAAACACATAGTGTTGAAAAATACACGTTTTAAAATTTCAACCAATCGATTGGTGGAAAGAAAAAACTACTCTTGGTCGACCAAGATTATTTTTTATTTTTTTTCGGGGACAGCCCTAGTAGAAATGAGCTTTAGATGCCCAAAACAATCCTGAGGGAGGACCCCCAGACCCACCGCCAGGTTATGTCCAGAAATCCGTCCATTATGATGTAGCATTGCGATAAAGCCGCTCTCACTACACTGGAAGTTAATAGGAAAACGACTTTTAGATCGCAAAAACGTATATCATAGGTCAGATTTCAATACTGGCCGATGTCATAACGCGGGAGGTTGTCTCCTCTCCAATGAGCCATTGATCATATTGTTGCGATATTCCTACCTCGAGAAATGTGTAATTTAACAGAGGGTCCACCACATTTCTCATATTTGTCTGCCTCTTCAGTCCGGGGTGCATTGCATGTTGCCGTTGCGAATGTCAGACTCCACTCTGCGAGGCACATCGATCTGAAGGTTGAACATGGCGAGATTGTAGACTCCTAAATTGATAGTGCAGTTTGTTCAGGTGATTTTACAGGTAACTAGCTACTCCACATGCTGATATTGATTTTGGTATAATTGTGTGTAACTAAACTCAGCAAAAAAAGAGACGTCCTCTCATGGTCAACTGCGTTTATTTTCAGAAAACTTTAAATATTTGTATGAACATAACAAGATTCAACAACAGACATGAACTGAACAAGTTCCACAGACATATGACTAACAGAAATTGAATAATGTGTCCCTGAACAAAGGGGGGGGGGTCAAAATCAAAAGTAACAGTCAGTATCTGGTGTGGCCACCAGCTGCATTAGGTACTGCAGTGCATCTCCTCCTCATGGACTGCACCAGATTTGCCAGTTCTTGCTGTGAGATGTTACCCCACTCTTCCACCAAGGCACCTGCAAGTTCCTGGACATTTCTGGGGGGGGAATGGCCCTAGCCCTCACCCTCCGATCCAACAGGTCCTAGACGTGCTCAATGGGATTGAGATCCGGGCTCTTCGCTGGCCATGGCAGATCACTGACATTCCTGTTTTGCAGGAAATCATGCTCAGAACGAGCAGTATGGCTGGTGGCATTGTCATGCTGGAGGGTCATGTCAGGATGAGCCTGCAGGAAGGGTACCACATGAGGGAGGAAAATGTCTTCCCTGTAACGCACAGCGTTGAGATTGCCTGCAATGACAACAAGCTCAGTCCGATGATGCTGTGACACACCGCCCCAGACCATGACGGACCCTCCACCTCCAAATCGATTCCGCTTCAGAGTACAGGCCTTGGTGTAACGCTCATTCCTTCAACGATAAACGCGAATCCGACCATCACCCCTGGTGAGACAAAACTGCAACTCGTCAGTGAAGAGCACTTTTTGCCAGTCCTGTCTGGTCCAGCGACGGTGGATTTGTGCCCATAGGTGACGTTGTTGCCGGTGATGTCTGGTGAGGACCTGCCTTACAACAGGCCTACAAGCCCTCAGTCCAGCCTCTCTCAGCCTATTGCGGACAGTCAGAGCACTGATGGAGGGATTGTGCGTTCCTGGTGTAACTCGGGCAGTTATTGTTGCCATCCTGTACCTGTCCCGCAGGTGTGATGTTCGGATGTACCGATCCTGTGCAGGTGTTGTTACACGTGGTCTGCCACTGCGAGGACGATCAGCTGTCCGTCCTGTCTCCCTGTAGCGCTGTCTTACGGGTCTCACAGTACGGACATTTCAATGTATTGCCCTGGCCACATCTGCAGTCCTCATGCCTCCTTGCAGCATGCCTAAGGCACGTTCACGCAGATGAGCAGGGACCCTGGGCATCTTTCTTTTGGTGTTTTTCAGTCAGTAGAAAGGCCTCTTTAGTGTCCTAAGTTTTCATAACTGTGACCTTAATTGCCTACCGTCTGTAAGCTGTTAGTGTCTTAATGACCGTTCCACAGGTGCATGTTCATTAATTGTTTATGGTTCATTGAACAAGCATGGGAAACAGTGTTTAAACCCTTTACAATGAAGATCTGTGAAGTTATTTCGATCTCTACGAATTATCTTTGAAAGACAAGGTCCTAAAAAAGGGACGTTTCTTTTTTTGTTGACTTTACGTTTGCTTGCTGGCTGGCTAGAGCCGATGGAGAGAGCGTTGCATTGTGGGTTGTGTAGTCAACTTGAGCTGTAACAGATTTCCACAAAGATTGTCACGTTGCTACCAACCTTATTATAATGACAAAATGAAACATTTGTTCGCATAAAATAGTTCTAACATAGGAATTAGTAGTTCTGGGTGGATGTTTCCTTTAAGTTAGCTAGTTAGGGCCATGGTAGCCAGATACAATGTCTGTGACGTTCCAAGTCCGATTGCTGTCACATTCAAAACAACTGGGAACTTCGGGAAAAAACGAGCTCTGACTGGGAAAATCGTTTTGAACGGTCATCCAACTAGGATTTCCAAGTCGGAAAAATCTGGCATCTTTCAAAAATTCCGACTTCCCGACCCAAAGATGACTGACGTCATGATTTGACCTCGTTTTTTTCTGAGTTCCCAGTTGTCTTGAAACCACCAGTACTTTATGCTAAGAAATGCTAATGGGACCTTCAAGACCACTGGGAACTCGTAAAAAAACGAGGTCAAATCATGACGTCAGTGATCTTCGGGTGGGGAAGTCGGACCTCTAGAAAGAGGCCAGAGTTCCCGACTTGGAAATCGTAGTTTTGAACGCGGCATAAATGTACGTTATTGTCAACGTGTGTAAATAGCTTCAAGGATAACAGCTAGCTACTAGTACCATTCAAGTGATTCAGATGCTGAAAAGTGAACGCTAGCTACATTTTCGCATAGGCAGCTAGATAACAATAGCTGCACATGCTACAAGGTCAGTGGTAGAGCTCCCGTTTCTCAGTGTGGCGACAAATTGTAAATAAACGACTTACTGTTGTCAGACGGTGCACTGCACAGCATCCTTCTGCTAAATCTGACAAGTATTCGTGTGTTTTGATCGACATTTTTGACCCAAGAATAGCTCCTAAATAGGCACCGCGCTGCACCAAGCGCGGCCATGTTTGTAGTTACCTCATCGATCACACTGACGTGACCTTTACGTTCTAAGTAGAAATGGGGGAATCATGGGAGATGGAGTCTTTCGATTGTGTGAGTGTTTTATGAAGGATGTTCACCAGATGGCGCTAATTGATAATTTATTTTGTGTCCACTTGCAAGTTGTTCATTACATTTTACATTTTAGTCATTTAGCAGACGCTCTTATTCAGAGCGACTTACAGTTAGTGAGTGCATATATTTTTCATGGTTACAGTGGTGATTCTCATGACATTCTGACATGTTGTAAGTACCATAAACATGTATTATGTTTGTCTGACCAATATAGACAGTCTTTTCTCATTACAAAAAAAAAAAAAAGAAAAACCCTGGAATGAGTAGGTGTGTCCAAACTGTTGACATTTAGCCATTTAGCAGACACTCTTATCCAGAGCAACTAGGGTTAAGTGCCTTGCTCAACGGCAGATTTGGTCACCTAGTCGGCTCGGGGATTCGAACCAGCGACCTTTCGGTTACTGGCCCAATGCTCTTAACCGCTAGGTTACATGCCATGGAAACACACACACATATTATACATGCATTACATGGATATACAGTACATGAATATGCAGTACATGGAGTTAATTTGTGGAATTTCTTTCCTTCTTAATGGTATTGAGCCAATCAGTTGTGCTGTGACAAGGTAGGGGTAGTATACAGAAGATAGCCCTATTTGGTAAAAGACCAAGTCCATATTATGGTAAGAACAGCTCAAATAAGCAAAGAGAAACGACAGTCCATCATTACTTTAAGACATGAAGGTCAGTCAATACGGAACATTTTAAGAACTTTGAAAGTTTCTTCAAGTGCAGTCGCAAAACAGGAAGAATGGCGCCAAGTACAAACCAAAGATTGTATGTACAAACCTTCCTCTCCTGAATACAAGCCTTCTAGATACTTTTCATAATTGCACTTATCAATCTTCAACTCCTGGAATGATTGTTACATCATTGTTACATGTTCTCCAAAGAATCTTAAAATGGTACTTAAAGATCAGAAATCAAACTTGACGAGAGTGAGGATGAAGATAGATACAGTACCAGTCAAAAGTTTAGACACACCTACTCATTCATTCCAGGGTTTTTCTTTATTTTTACTATTTTCTACATTATAGAATAATAGTGAAGCCATCAAAACTACGAAATAGCAAATATGGAATCGTGTAGTAACCAAAAAAGTGTTAACAAATCAAAATATATTTTATATTTGAGATTCTTCAAATAGCCACCACTGCCTTGATGACAGTTTTGCACACTCTTGGCATTCGCTCAACCAGCTTCATGGGGTAGTCACCTGGAATGCATTTCAATTAACAGGTGTGCCTTGTTAAAAGTTAATGTGTGGAATTTCTTTCCTTCTTAATGCGTTTGAGCCAATCAGTTGTGTTGTGACAAGGTAGGGGTAGTATACAGAAGATAGCCCTATTTGGTAAAAGATCAAGTCCACATTATGGTAAGAACAGCTCAAATAAGCAAAGAGAAACGATAGTCCATCATTACTTTAAGACATGAAGGTCAGTCAATCCGGAACATTTCAAGAACTTTGAAAGTTTCTTCAAGTGCAGTCGGAAAACCATCAAGCGCTATGATCAATCAATCAATTTTATTTTATATAGCCCTTCTTACATCAGCTAATATCTCGAAGTGCTGTACAGAAACCCAGCCTAAAACCCCAAACAGCTAGTAATGCAGGTGTAGAAGCACGGTGGCTAGGAAAAACTCCCTAGAAAGGCAAAACCTAGGAAGAAAACCTAAGAGGAACCAGGCTATGAGGGGTGGCCAGTCCTCTTCTGGCTGTGCCGGGTGGAATTATAACAGAACCATGCCAAGATGTTCAAAAATGTTCATAAGTGACAAGCATGGTCAAATAATAATCAGGAATAAATCTCAGTTGGCTTTTCATAGCCGATCATTAGAGTTTAAAACAGCAGGTCTGGGACAGGTAGGGGTTCCATAACCGCAGGCAGAACAGTTTAAACTGGAATAGCAGCAAGGCCAGGCGGACTGGGGATAGCAAGGAGTCACCACGGCCGGTAGTCCCGACGTATGGTCCTAGGGCTCAGGTCTCTCAGTTGGCTTTTCATAGCCGATCATTTAGAGTTGAAAACAGCAGGTCTGGGACAGGTAGGGGTTTCGTAGCCGCAGGCAGAACAGTTGAAACTGGAATAGCAGCAAGGCCAGGCGGACTGGGGGCAGCAGGGTGTCATCATGCCCGGTAGTCCTGACGTATGGTCCTAGGGCTCAGGTTCTCAGAGAGAAAGAGAGAACGAGAGAATTAGAGAGAGCATACTTAAATTCACACAGGACACTGGATAAGACAGGAGAAGTACTCCAGGTATAACCAACTAACCCCAGCCCCCCGACACATAAACTACTGCAGCATAAATACTGGAGGCTGAGACAGGAGCGGTCCGGAGACACTGTGGCCCCATCCGAAGAAACCCCCGGACAGGGCCAAACAGGAAGGATATAACCCCACCCACTCCGCCAAAGCACAGCCCCCGCACCACTAGAGGGATATCCCCAACCACCAACTTACAATCCTGAGACAAGGCCGAGTATAGCCCACAGAGGTCTCCACCACAGCACAAACCAAGGGGGGGGGGGGCGCCAACCCAGACAGGAGGATCACGCCAGTAACTCAACCCACTCAAGTGACGCACCCCTCCCAGGGACGGCATGAAAGAGCACCAGCAGGCCAGTGACTCAGCCCCTGCAACAGGGTTAGAGGCAGAGAACCCCAGTGGAGAGGGGAACCGGCCTGGCAGAGACAGCAAGGGCTGTTCGTTGCTCCAGCCTTTCCGTTCACCTTCACACTCCTGGGCCAGACTACACTCAATCATATGACCTACTGAAGAGATAAGTCTTCAGTAAAGACTTAAAGGTTGAGACCGAGTCTGCGTCTCTCACATGGGTAGGCAGACTGTTCCATAAAAATGGAGATCTATAGGAGAAAGCCCTGCCTCCCGCTGTTTGCTTAGAAATTCTAGGGACAATTAGGAGGCCTGCGTCTTGTGACCGTAGCGTACGTATTGGTATGTACGGCAGGACCAACTCGGAAAGATAGGTAGGAGCAAGCCCATGTAACGCTTTATAGGTTAACAGTAAAACCTTGAAATCAGCCCTTGCCTTAACAGGAAGCCAGTGTAGGGAAGCTAGCACTGGAGTAATATGATCAAATTTCTTGGTTCTAGTCAGGATTCTAGCAGCCGTATTTAGCACTAACTGAAGTTTATTTAGTGCTTTATCCGGGTAGCCGGAAAATAGAGCATTGCAGTAGTCTAATCTAGAAGTAACAAATGCATGGATTAATTTTTCTGCATCATTTTTGGACAGAAAATTTCTGATTTTTGCAATGTTACGTAGATGGAAAAAAGCTGTCCTTGAAACAGTCTTGATATGTTCGTCAAAAGAGAGATCAGGGTCAAGAGTAACGCCTAGGTCCTTCACAGTTTTATTTGAGACGACTTTACAACCATCAAGATGAATTGTCAGATTTAACAGAAGATCTCTTTGTTTCTTGGGACCTAGAACAAGCATCTCTGTTTTGTCCGAGTTTAAAAGTAAAAAGTTTTCAGCCATCCACTTCCTTATGTCTGAAACACAGGCTTCTAGCGAGGGCAATTTTGGGGCTTCACCATGCTTCATTGAAATGTACAGCTGTGTGTCATCCGCATAGCAGTGAAAGTTAACATTATGTTTTCGAATAACATCCCCAAGAGGTAAAATATATAGTGAAAACAATAGTGGTCCTAAAACGGAACCTTGAGGAACACCGAAATGTACAGTTGATTTGTCGGAGGACAGACCATTCACAGAGACAAACTGATATCTTTCCGACAGGTAGGATCTAAACCAGGCCAGAACTTGTCCGTGTAGACCAATTTGGGTTTCCAGTCTCTCCAAAAGAATGTGGTGATCGATGGTGTCAAAGGCAGCACTAATGATGAAACTGGCTCTCATGAGGACCGCCACAGGAAAGTAAGAACCAGAGTTCCCTCTGCTGCAGAGGATAAATTCATTAGAGTTAACTGCACCTCAGATTGCAGCCCAAATAAATGCTTCAGAGTTCAAGTAACAGACACATCTCAACATCGACTGTTCAGAGGAGACTGCGTGAATCAGGCCTTCATGGTCGAATTGCTGCAAAGAAACCACTACTAAAAGGACACCAATAAGAAAAAGAGACTTGCTTGGGCCAAGAAACACAAGCAATGGACATTTGACCGGTGGAAATCTGTCCTTTGGTCTGATGAGTCCAAATGTGAGATTATTGGTTCCAACCGCAGTGTCTTTGTGAGACGCAGAGTAGGTGAACGGATGATCTCCGCATGTGTGGTTCCCACCGTGAAGCATGGAGGAGGAGGTGTGATGGTGTGGGGGTGCTTGACTGGTGACACTGTCTGTGATTTATTTAGAATTCAAGGCACACTTAACCAGCATGGCTACCACAGCATTCTGCAGCGATACGCCATCCCATCTGGTTTGCGCATAGTGGGACTATCATTTGTTTTTCAACAGGACAATGACCCAAAACACACCTCCAGGCTATGTGAGGGCTATATGACCAAGGAGAGTGATGGAGTGCAGCATCAGATGACCTGGCCTCCACAATCCCCCAACCTCAACCCAATTGAGATGGTTTGGGATGAGTTGGACCGCAGAGTGAAGGAAAAGCAGCCAACAGGTGCTCAGCATATGTGGGAACTCCTTCAAGACTGTTGGAAAAGCATTCCAGGTGAAGCTGGTTGAGCAAATGCCAAGAGTGTGCAAAGCTGTCATCAAGGCAAAGGGTGGCTACTTTGAAGAATCAAAAAAATATATATTTGTATTGTTTAACACTTTTTTGATTACTAGATGATTCCATATGTGTTATTTCATAGTTTTGATGTCTTCACTATTATTCTGCAATGTAGAAAATAGTCAAAATTAAGAAAAACCCTTGAATGAGTAGGTGTTCTAAAACGTTTGACCGGTAGTATATATATTCC